CAAAATAAAATTGAATATATCTGATTCTATGCCATATAAAACGAATTTATTATTGGATTTGTAATGTGTACGACTAAAAGAAAAAATATGCAAAAGTCATAAACATCCTAACCTTAATAATGAGTAACCATAAATTATATTTTCTATATTTTTGATAAATATAATAGTTGTATTAAGTAAATATACTCTTCTAAAAATTATTTATTAGCCTAATTTTGTTCGATATTTATGTAATTTATGTAAAAATTATCAAGTAGTACCTTATCTAAATTATAAGAGAATCAGTGTATATTACTGTGTTTACATATTTTTTACATTAATTTGCTATTTACATGATATTATCCCTTAAGTAATTCAAAACTATATGTTCCATAATATGAAATTTTATTGAGTTAAGTTTTTAACGCTTATGGTTTAAAAATCGTTTACATAATCACATCATAGAAACATAATGAACAATTAAGATATTTCTCTGCGGAAATTATATCTTTTTTTCTGATTCATGATTTTTTTTTACTTATGTCTTAAAATGTAAGCATACTGGAAAACGATGTATTCTTAAGTGTATGAATTAAAACAATAGATACTTATTATGTTTATATTACATTATATTAATTATATCATTCGTGTTTTAACAGGTAATAAAACTCACAATATTATGTAATTGTCTATTAAATAAAATTCAGAGCAGGACTAAGGATTAGTGCAGCTCTAGAGCAATATATATATATTTGGTATCTCTTATCAAGAAATCATTAAAATAACATTATGTTTTAATACTATGTGAAGAGGCGAAAGATGCTGTCATGGAACGAATACTCTTTTTGCACTTAATTTGTTAATCTAGCCCTAATAATACTTATATTTTTTGTTTGAAACTAATCGTCTAATTTTAATGCTTTATGGGATTTGTTCGCTTATCTTTTTAAAAATGTTTATACAGTATGTACCAATTTTATCATTGAAACCAAAACAGGACTGTTTTATGACATATATTTTATTATAACTAAGTATTTACATTAAAGATAAAAGATATATTAAGGAAGTTTTTGCAGAATTAAAGTTTTCTATTGATTGTTATAAAGCATTAACAAATTACTACTTAATTTATTAGGTTGTTAGTAATTTAAATGAGTAAACCATACCCAATATTTTTGAATACTATGAATTGTATTTAAAATTCTTGATTGATTTTAAATTAATTTATGCTTATCAAACATTTATTCTACATCTCACTTTTAAGTTGTTTCCAAGAAGACTAGGAAGCAATTGGCTTAAACATTTTCTGAGATATAAAAAACTAATTTATAATAATTTACATGAGCTCTTGGACGTGTAACGGTGATGAGTAAACATTAACATACATTTTTATTTTGCTATACTACAATAATATTATGTACTATAAAACTTAGTTATTAATTATTATGCAGTTGTAAAGTTTTTAAATAAATAAATATTTAATCAAATAAAAATAAAATAATAAATAATAAATAACAAAGACTTTATTGTATTTTAAATTAAATTTATCAAGTTTTGTTTAACGGAGGAACAGTTTAAACAGTTAACCAATAAGTTATTTTGTAAAAATATAATTGTTAGTTATATCAGAGGTGCACATATTATACAAAATTGAATAATAATCTTACTTGAAAATATATTATTTTTTTTTTTTTTAATAGGGTAAAAATTTACTCTATTTACCTTTAATATGAATAAGACTATACTGATCTAGGCCATTATAATCCCGGAATGGGTCACGTTTTCGAATGACAAGTGTTAGAAAAATTATTCGTTCGAATAGATATATATTCGAAAAGTAGTATGTACGAAAATTATTTATTTTAATTTAAAATAGCCAACTAATATTTTAAAAATTAATAAAAAAAAAAAAAAAAATGTGTCAACAGCCCTCCCGAGAAACAATGATATTTGTTTATATCGCCTATATCAAAGATTAACCGAAGTTTACCCTTCTTCGCTTGGTAAGGGTCAACGGCCTCGACGGTGCGATATTCGGCTATACCGGAGTCACTAGATTAGACGTCGAACAATTACTCGTGTGACCTTAGCTGGTACACCAATAATATTTTTATTTTTTAAAATGAATCTAATATATACCTTAACGTAACAAAAAACAATTTTTGGGAGATATTCTAGCCGACATCTACGTGATGTCTGTTGGATAACGCAAATAGGCTAGTCCCAACTCATGCGTTCTCACGATAAAACTCATGATATTTAATATATTATTTTGTTCATAGAACTTTTCTAACAATTGTCATTCGAAAACATGACCTTTGAACACATGTACCCTTCCTTTATAATACATACGCATTTCTAAATCAATAATCATTTTATTTAATTAAGTAATGCGAAATTACTTTATAAAAATAAAATATAAATATTTAACATGAAACCTGTTTTATTATTAATATTTTTTTTTGTAGTTTAGTTAATAAAAAAGTGATTGAGTATACTCAAAAAATATTATTTTTTTTTTTAGAAATATTCATGTAATCATAAGATATTATGTACAAAAATTGATATAACTTGATCATAATATATCTTATTGTATTATTATTATAAACATTTGCGATAATATTACTTTACAAAAATAGTTTAAAAGTGCGTAAATAAGTTAATGATAGAAATAAGTAATATTTTAAAATTAATTTACCTACATGTTTTTAAATTGCCTTGGTGTATAATAAAATTCCTAATTTAAGTATATAAAAGTCTTAAGTTCCCATGAATATTTTTTTTGAATTTAACAAAATAATTAATTTTGTTATTTATCATTTAAACATGTAATTTTGTACAAATTTTAATTTTAAACGTCTATAAAAATTTTACTTAAATATTTTTTAGATTTTTGGTTTCATAATAAACTGCTTTGATGATCTTTGTACTCAAATCTAAAGCCTTAGCTAAAAAATTCAAATATTTAATACATTTTTAAGTGTGTGACAATTGAAAATCACATCGTTCATAGAAAATTATTATATATCATAACATAATCTTTGATTGAGGAGTTATTACTTTATGAGGTTATATCCAATGTCGTGAAAATTTTAATTTCAAACGTTCATCAATAATTATATAAAACTTTCTATTAAAGACTACTCTTTAAGTTGGAGATCAAAGTATTTTTCAATCATTTATGGTGTAAATACATACACATACATACAAACTACAAATTATTATAATATAAATACGTTCGTATTATTCTGTTTGAAATTTCAAATATTAATTTATTTTAAAAATATAATAGTTTTTATAAGTGTTACTTGGAATATATTGTATAATATATAATTAACTAAGTAATAATCATAATAATTAAAAAATTAAAATAGAAGAATGAATAATTTAACAGTTAAAATGTAAAGGTACTTATTATTATTTTACAATACAATTTTAATCATCTTGATATGAATTCAATTGGTGATTGATTCTTATTTAATAACTCATTTTATAATATTAAATGAAAAAAAAAATTATCTCATATAATATTATTTATATTACATAAAATACTCGTAAATTGTATTGGTATTATCAAATGATAAATATAATTTAAAACTAATTTTATAAATGAAATATAAAATAAAATATTTTCTATTAAGCTTAGTTTTTAAAAATACCATGTAATACATAAATCTATAATTTTTTTTTTTTTTGTCTGTATGATAATAAAATTAAAAATATACTTGTTAAATATTTTCTTTTTTAAAACATTGATTATTTTAAATTAGTGTTATTGTTGTTTATATTGATCTTAATTATAGATATATATCTTTAATATTACATGTGAGTAAAATTCAATTATACACAGTTTAATAGATTTTCAATCAATAATATATAAGTAAATTGAAACATACAACAAAACTTATGAGTTTAACGAGTTGCTGTAGTCATCTGGTTTTAGAAAATAGTTTTGGCTTACACAGCTTTTGTATTATTTTCGAATTTGCTGTGGTATAATTCAATTGATTTTTTATACGATGGTTTAAAACAATTGTTATAGTTAACTACTTCTAGGTAACAGTCTGGGACCAAATAATTGTATGCCAAACGCACCTATTGGTGCCGTCAACAAAATGGATATCACAGCTATTGTTACTAATGTAGACGCACATTCGATATCATTTGGTATATTCGAATTCAACGCTATGTTCAAAGCCACTGGTGCCAAAGCAGCCTATAATAAATAAAACATAATAAGCAATCATTTATAAAATAGAAAAATAATTAAAATAAATGGAAATCTAAATTCATCTGTTAGCCCTAATACTATTAGAAAATATATTTAAATCACTTTATGACTATATTACAAACGAGTTTTTACCAGAAAATATAAACGTTTCTAACTTACAGTTTAGCTGAGCAACGCTACTGTTATATCGTGTTATATTTTAAATCGATTGCAAGAAAGTTTAATGATTTGTATTGGTTTTATAATTTATATATGCTAAATTACTAAGCTTATACTTATTAATGTATCTCGTGGTAATGCTCGATCTTCATAAATGTTTTACGCTTTAACTATCAACAAAACTATAGTTTATTCGTTCTGATTAACAAAAGTATTGACGAGTAATTCGATAAATAATATTAAGATGATTTATCCAGGTTGAAACTACTTTTATAATATTATTAATTTGTATAATATAAGTATGTATTTTAATTTTCGTATTGCAATAAAATAATTCTATTGTACAATAACTGTTCTATTCTTAATTTATCGAGCGTAATATTTTTTACACATAAAAAAAAAAAAAAATAATAATAAATAAATATGAAAATTTGATTTACGTTACCTGTACTGTAGCTTTTGGAAGCCACGCGATATTAACGAATAATATTTCCTTACGACTGAATCCTGTGCCAAGCACTGAACACGTGGTAACAATTAGGCGAATCTAAAATCGATATCACATATTATTATACTAAAACCAAACATATTTTTATGATTTATTTTAGATTTTGAGCCATTCGACGAATAAACAAATATGTGTTATGATATTTTTACTATGAGAGGTTTCAGGTACTCATATTCTTATTAGATTTAAAATTATGTTATTAAAATGTATCTTAGTTACGCATCATTAATACTTCTAATATAATTAAATTTATATACCACGAGTCCGAATGCTAGTACGAGCAGCCCGAGAAAAATCGTGTCTCCTCTTCTCCGTAGTAATTCGAAATTAAGGTCGGTGCCTATAAAGGCGAATAGCACCGGCTGTAGCCATGTCCAAGCATTTTCGAATACCTGTACTATTGGAAGCTCTTCGTCCTCGATTTCCTCGCCATCTCCGTCCACTCTGTTAGTTGAGATAACTGAGTTGTTTTGTTTATGCTGAGCTGATCGTCTTCTCCAACCAGTGCCCGCCACGAACGCTGATATGATACACGCCAGTGGCCCTGCTCCCGGATAACCATACCACTGACTTCCGGTCACAGCTAAAAACCCACCCATACCTAATAGAAATGATCTTTTGGCCGTCACAGAATTTTCTATCTATATCCCGGTAAAAAAAAAAAAAATACAAATTACTGCCACGAATATTATATGAATTGAATGTAATTTTTATGATTAATATTATTTCGGTAAACAAAAAAGTGTGTATTAATAAGAGAACTGAAAGGAGTTAGGTGATAAATAAAGTTTTAAAAAAATCACAAAATATAAAATTATAACTGTTCAAGTATCACATATGTATTAATTTTCTTCCTCCTTCAACAGTAACATTTTTCCGAAAAAAAATATAAGTTAACTATTGCAGCACGTTAGTTGTCATTAATCTTAGACTCTTTACCAGAATTTATAAGTCGAACTTAGTTCAACAAGGCAGCATATACCCCTCTAAATTAATTTCAACAGTTTGTAGGTTTAAACTTTAAAAGTCCAAACAGCTTCCAGGGGCACTTAAATATAATTTATTATTAAAAATCTACGACTTACAATTTTAAGGGAAGATTTGTTAATGGAATAGTGTTAATGAGGGGGGGGGGGTAACTTAATATATGTATTTAAATAATATGTTTTTGTGATGTACAATTTTATTGAAGCTAATATTTTATCTTTTTTTAGTATATAAACATTACGATAAATGACATTGAAAAATTATATAAAAATCTATTTTAGAATAATAATAAATTTACTTCTGATTTTTTGCTTTCTCGTTTATTGTATATTATGGCCCAAGGCGACGGAGGCACAAAAATCAAAACACAACCCCACATAAGTCCTATCACAATTCCAATTGACACGTCTATTGGTCCTTGTATTATCTGTCTGGTCAAGCTACCTATAAATCATACAAAAAAAAAACTTATACTATAGGTACTTAATCAAAAATATATTTATTTTATTATTTTATACTATTATGAAAGTTTTAAAAATATAAATAATAGCGCGTATCAATATTAATAAACTGTTTATTACATTAAAAATTAATTTTCTAAAAGATTCAAAAAAAATTATTTTATTGATATTGAGAAATTAAATATTTTAAAATAAAATATAGGTATAATATAATAATAAGACTCTAATTTAGTACATTGATAATTGAATCGAAAGATAAAATGGTGGATTACTGAACATTGTAAAAAATAGTCGTATTATACATACCAGTTGAGAATAAGACACCTAATAAAATACCGAAGGCGCTGATGGATACTGTATCATCTAAACTTGAAGCGGCAATCAACAATGTGTTAATACCTTTTAATTCACCATATCCTAAGCGCTTTAGTCGAAATAGACTTGGGACTAAAACGGCTGGACTGACAGCTGATAAAGTAAACCTTAAAATAGATAAATAAATATTTAATGTGAAAAAAGCAGAAAAAAATGTATTTGGATAACAGATTTTCAGATATATAGAAAAAAAGAGCACATTTAGATTTTAAAATTTTATAAACATAAATATATGTCAATTTGGTTCGGATTTGTCCTAGTAACTATTTTGTGGTTAATTTTTTTTTTAAATAGTATTGTTTTATATCTGCAGATTACTTAAGTTATTTGTATTTTCAGGATCTTATGTTGGGCTTTTGGTATTTAGTTACATACATACTTGACCAATAAACTAATTGGTTGATAATGAAGGGTCATACAATAAAATGGTATTTCTCGTATTTCAAATGAAAATCCTTAAGTTAATATCTGTAATAATATAGCAAAAAAAAGTGTGTCTTTAGAGCCAGATATCAAATCATGGGAGTATCGTAATTCAAACAGCCACTGTCCATGTTCAATTTTTAAATATCGTCCTCTAATAATTTCAATTAATTTAGAATCTGAAATTCGACCAGATTGCACGTATACTCGTCACTTATTTGATAATATTGTAATTAACTAAGTACTCACCCGAGTGTCAGGCCCCACACTAACGAAAAATTGGGCAAAATGTAATGTGCGGCAACACCTGCGGCCACGGCTTCGGCCACGCACGGCAATACTGTGAGTCTGGCCACGACACCGCTTAGCCTGCGCAACTGTCCGGCATTCAATTCTAAGCCACCTTTGATCAATATGACAGTAAGTGCGGCTTGTCTGTATAACACAAAAAATTCAGGTGTAATTTTTATCTATGAAAATATTGAGTGAAAAGATCCTACTTAGTCATTTGAGATATACAATTCCATTTCATTCAGTTATTACGAGATTTAGAAAATAGGTTGTATTTAATGAAGATACTCAATATGTATAAGATACGAATACACATTTATATGATACTAACTATATCTTAGTTTTAGTGTACCTTATTTCTCTGGCAAATCGAATTCGGAATACTTCGCTTTACAGTAAACTAATATGTCTAATTTAATCGAAATAGGCAAACCCTGGTGGATTAAATATAACACTTGGTATATTTTTAACGTGATTAAAATTACACTCAAAAACATTGATAATATCTTCAAAAACAATCTCTAAAATTTTCATTAATTTCAGTTAGATCATTTTTGAATACATATAAATTACTAATGTACATTAATTTATTTATACATTTATAATATATAATATAATATAGCTGTTGTATTTTTATCAATGATTTATTGGTGCTGTGATGAAATTTGTATTTTAAGGTGGACGACATATTATTGAAAATAATTAGTAAAAAAAAGTATGAACACAACGATTTATAATATAATTCTATACTCGTAATAATAATACTTTATTTATCTATACATACATCTGTACTTGCATCATAATAGCATATTAATAATAACAAAACATTAAAAATAATAATAATAATTTAAGATAAAAAGTACAAATAAATTCACCGCAGTGGTAATAAAATTAAAAACTAATTTAATATTAAATGATTAAATTGTAGGGCAATGCAAAAAAGTCAAATATCTCGAAAATCCAAACCTTCCAAAATATTGCTCTTACAAAACTAATGAATGTTCCACCCTACATGTCAAATCATACACTAAACACAGATTTAAAACTTAAATCAATAAATAATGAAGCAAAACTCTTTTATAAAATATTCTACAATCGATTAAATAATCATTCAAATCAATTAATAAAAACTTGGCCACTCCCACAATACCTGGCAATCCTTCGAAACGTTTGAAGTGTAAGTGGTATAGTGATCTTTTAAATAAAATAACAAGCTAATAGAAAGTGTCATCAGTGGGTGACTTCTTTCTTCAAAAACTCATGACCTGTTAATTCTTATCATATATTCTTATTATGTTTAAAATAATTTTATACAGATTGTTTATAACAAGTAAAAAAAAAAAATTAAATTATAATATATTGTTTAATACACGTACTCGTAATATTAAGATTATTTTTATTAAGGTAATTTCAGGAATTTAGCTGTGAATCTTTTACCTTATTGATAACCTATGCGATTACAAAACGATTATCAGTAAATTAAAGAAATAATATTTAAATTTTTAAACCTAAAATTTAGATGATTTCAAATTATTTTTTGCGTTAATTTTAATTTTTAAAGTCAGTGTATAATTTTACATCCATAATAAGGATAATAAATACACAGTATCGCTGAGTTAATTTGTAAATAGTATAAATAATATTGCCTTTAAACTTTTAAAGATGTAATTTTTAGAGAAGTCGTTAACTTGTAGTTGTTTAGTGGACAGAGAACAGTACTAAAAAGTAATTGTTATTATGAAAAACTGAAATTATTATTACTTCTAAACTTGGAAAAGAATTAATATTACTAAATAATTATAAATATTAATTTTTTAGACAATGCAAATATGGAAAAATGAAATGGAAGTGTTATAGTAATAATTTTAGTACCAATATTTTAAACAAAATTGCTAAATAATTTCAAGCGTTAAATGATAAACATAATCAAATTACAAGTAATAAAGAACGAATAATTGAAAGATAAATATTAAGGGAAACTAAGAGAAAATTTGAAGTTAATATAACTGTATAATCTTAAATAATTATTAGAACTGAGTTCTCTAATAGTAACGCACCAACTTTTATGCACAACGATATTTATTATTTCTTTAATACAGTACAAAAGACAATGTATGACTAGAGGAGAAAACATAAACCAATTCTTGGTGGCGACTGAAAAATAAGGAAAATAATGGTTTTTTGTTATTTTTAAGACAATTAATTTGTTTTTGTTCTCGAAACCAACAATTTCGTTTGCGTAACGTCAAGTCAAAATTTAAATGTTCTGGCAAAACAAACCGTATTAGTTAAAGATACCTAGTACCTACTTAGATATATGACAAACACCAAACTTTTTGTTTAACAGCCAAGTAGGTACACCTATATACGCTAAAAATATGAATTTCATAAACCTATTATTCATTTATTTTTTACCGAAATAAAAGATATTTAAATTGAAATGTGTAGAAAAGTATCTTATGCAAATGTGTCAGTTCGCACTGTGTTTAACAGTTACGATCTGATTTACCCGATTAAACGTTTTCGACAGAAAAACGAGTGCAAGACTCTTAGATTATTAGCCATCGATACGAAAATATGCTGATTATGTCAATTGATTTTCAGCGTGCTACGCGAAGCGGTAATCTGCGTCGTGAAAGTTAAAAATTTCATTCAAAAAAAAAAAAAAAAAAACATACGCTGCGCGTTTTTCAATCGACGCGAGGCGGCTTACCTCATGATGGACACCAATTCGAAACACCATCCGGTGACGTTGTACAGACCGGAATTCTGGAGAGCGATACCGGCCAGCATCATGCCCAGCAGCGGAGGCAGGCCGCCAACCTTGGCGATGAGCTTACCGGCCGCCGTGCCGGTCACGTACACCAGGAATATGGATGCCAGACTGCCGCCGGGCACTACCATCAGCTCCGACGGCACGTTCACGTACAGCAGCGTCCACGCAATGGCCACGGCCAGAAGTATTGCCAAGGCGTTGGCCGCGGCGGCCGGAAGCCGTTCGTCGAAACAGCTCGTGGAAGTCGAACCGTCGCCGCCGCTGACGCCTGCATTGCAACTACCGGTGAACTGCACGCGGGCGTCGTCTTGGTGGTGGTGCAGTTCCGGAATGCTTGTGCCGTTTCTGTCGCCCATCTTAATCCTGTCGGCCAAAAATTGTTCACGATAGTTAATGAGTACCTATCATAATATATCTAACGAGATTCGCGAGGTAAAATGGTTAATACGATGATAGTTTAAAGTATAAACGGATTAAAAAAATTAAACAGTGTTTGAAGAAAATCACATACAGAATTGTAGTAAGTCATATTGTTTCGTTGTAACAATGGCACTTTTTTCAGGTAATCGCTAAATCAGAATAAGTTCTTTTTTTGTGATTAAAATAATAATAAAAAAAATAATACTAATTTTATTTTGAACCAAAATTTATTATTTTTAATTATTATCACCAATTTTATTAAATGTTATATGATTTTACGCTACAAACTGAGTATATTTATAATAAAATGTTAAAATATTATAAAATTATAATAGGTATATAATATACACGAAATGCAATTATATTATTTATAAAGTTTCAATAAATTGGATAATTTTTATTTAGTTTAAATTTTAAAATATTTATTTTATCTCTAATGGATACGATGCGAGAATCTTATTCATTTGATACTTTCTCAGTTATCGGATTTGTGTTAAATGCACTCTTAAACCTTTGACTCGTACTTCATCGTTTTTCAAACGTGTCATCTAGTTTATTAAGATAAACTTTTTTTAAATATTTTGAAGAATATTTAGTCTTGTTTTGTTTGATATGTAAGAATACCATGTTTTAAATTCTTTATTTTTTTTTTTTTTTTAAATTCCCTTTAAACAAGTGACAGAGAATTTTGAAAAATGTATAATTTTTATAACAAAACAAGTGTATTTATTTTTTTTTACTTTAACGGGTTTTTTTATTCATCTATAAAAATACAAATAATATTAAATTAATTCTCTAAACAATAAACATTTTATTTATTTAACGTGCTTAAGTACTACACAATATATACCATAACTTGAAATTGCATTATAATGTACACTATTATAATATAATAATATACTCTACCTATGGAGTCTAATAGACTCCAACGAATTACATATTATATTATTTATACTAATTAATTTTAATCCAGCCTAACCATGTCATACTTAATAGGTACTAAAATTATTTTTATTGTTCTGTCTTTAAAAGGATACCAAAATGACAAATGATAAGTGTGTGAAAATTAAAATATAAAAATGGTCGTTTCAGTCGTAACTCAATTAAAAATTAAAATACCATAAAAAAAACCAATTAAAGATCACAGATCTAATCTTAGTTTAATAATAGGTTAATTAAATTTAATAATAAATACAAATATCAATTATACGCAATTTTATATTTTGTACATTTGTAAGACACATGAAACATGTGAGTAGGTATAGAGTCTTCTTGGCGTGAAATATTATGGTATGCAAGATGTGTGGTAACCAAAACACAATTCTGTATGCAAGCATATTTATCATAAATCATGTGTTTACAAAATAATTTTTGTAGTAAGCATTAATCGTTTGTCTAGGTTACTAACGTATTTTTGTTTTAATATTCACGAACTTAAATATAGGAATTAATGTGTATTTAAGGAAGATGGTTCCCATAAAAAAAATAAATGAAAAGCTGTGATGATTGAATAATTTTTGAAATTATTTACCAATTAGTACGGTTCTTAGTTTTGTATTTAAGTTAAGTTGTGCAACATAAAAAAAGTTTGGAAAGCCACAGATTGAGTATGGTTGCTATAGCCAAACAAAATGCGTCTAACATGCACGCCATGCACGCCAATGTAATTCTTATAACGCTATTATTATTACCTGTTTGGATTTTTTGTGTTTTTGAGCGGAACATTTCAGAAATAAAAATGATATTATAAAACCCTTGAACTGTAATAAAACGAGTTTAAAAAAAGTTGACTAAATAAACTTTTAAAAGTTTTATCCTCTGGGAAACTATCTTGAAAAAACACGTATAAATATTTAAATAAAACGTTTTTATGTATTTAGATTGGAATTAATTCAAGTTTTTAACTGGTGAATTCGGCTTTTTTCTACTTAAAAAACAAGCATAAAAGTAAAAGCCGTTTTAACTATAAATATTGCTTTTAAAAATATGTTCTGATCTTTTGAATTAATAATCACCAAAAAATATTTTACGGTATATCAGTATTGATACGGTGAAAATATTTCTTATTTTATTAATTATTTACTTTGAAAGTATATGGTTTATTTTAGATTCAATTGTGTATACATTTCGTTTAAAACAATAAGGAACATACAATATTATATTAAACGAATTTTAATTTTTTTATTTTAAGTGAAATAAAATATAAAATTAATATTAGTATCTATCTATCGAATAAGCACCTACAAATAATTCAATATTTTAGCACCATTCATTGATATGTACACGTGACAACAGATCGCTTTGTCGAAAATATAATATATATTATTAATATTTAATATTTTATTATCTGCCATCTAACGTATAATATTGTATTATGCAAATCGGCGTAAGAGAGTATCGCTAGTAAAATAATATTATTATTCATACAGTTTGTAAGCGAAAAATGTATTGTATTACTTCTGTGTTTATCGTGGATTTGGATGTATTATTATGTTATTGTTATAAGTTATAATACTCTAACGTCGTGCAATATTCAACGGCCTAAAATACGATTGCAGTTTTTTGGTGGTCCACATTCGGCTGTAGCTGGTTTAAAAAAGAAAATTCGCAAACAAAACAAAAATAAAAACGAAATAAAAAAAAAATTGAAAAGTTCCTTTTACAAACATGCATATTATTACATAGAACAGTAGTGAGGCGCACGGGTAGGATGAAAAAAAAAATCCTATTAAACGGAAACTCATGGCTATGTGTATAGCGTGTATACATGCAAAAAAACGAAACGGTGAATAAAAAGCTAACGACTCAGCCACACTGACTGTACGACAAGAAGCTTTTCGCCTTGATTCTATATACACTGTCAAGTGCTCACTAATTTACATAAGTTTTGCGTACAATCATGTTCTCTTCCACGAGTCCACTCACTCCACTCGTTTGGTCCGTGAGATTCCGTGCAGAAGACATGCCGCGAACAAGTCATCACCTTCTTACGATCATTCGGGGAGGTTTTCTTTTCTTGTCCCATGCAACTACTATTGCATACCTAATGACATTATATAGCTAACAAAATTGGTGGGCATCGTGATGGTGCGCACGATAGTGAAGAAGGGGTGGGATTCCCAGATGCTGCTAGTATATGTATATATATATATATATATAGTCCGTTCAACATCCACTCCAGTCTGAAAACAAACGACCCGAAAAAAACCCCTGAACGAACTAAGTACACACCCACACACACACACACACATAAACAAGCGAAATAAAAGAATAAAAGAATAACGAAATAGACAAAACGCTAACGGAATCACGATTGGATCGAAGCTCTCTTTCTTTTTTTCGCTTTTGTACATGTATAATATGAGTTCAGAGCGCTTATACGTTTATTTCTCTCTCTCTCTCACACGCACACACACATTTTTCTGCACGGTTTTTTCTAGCTTTTTTTTATCAACCTTTTCGACGAACAGAAACAATTACACGTTCGTTTCTTTCCTTCCTTACGCATTTCTAAAGTAATCGACCATTACGCAACACTCGCACATACCAGCGATTTAACAATTTAACTCCTCGACGACACTCGTCAATTCCCATTCGTATATATTATATCCCTCCGACGAATGTAAAACGGTTTTTACATTCTGTACCGGGCTTTTGTTTTCTGAGACCTCGGTTGGTATGATATACATAATAATATATTACCTTGTGTGGCCGGTCATAAACGTTAAGTATAAAATTATTTGAATTGCATCGAGATATTTGAATATGTTTTTATTTCATGCACAATATACATTACTATTATACTTTTTCCCATGTTATTATCGACTCACGTATACCAGCAAGTATATTCACTCCGTCATAATCATAATACTTAACAGAATACTCTTATAGCTAGTATTTTATATTATAACATAATATACGTGCAATTCACTATATATTCTGTATTAGTATTGTACTTGAAAAAAATTAAAGTTTCTTCAAAATTGTAATAATGATAGCCATTTAAAAAAATACATTACAAATCTCCATAGTTTGACTTCTCGATTTTTAAACTTTTTAAGTAAGAACACATACCAACAATATTAAGACATATGCGTATTTAAGATAAATATGATACTTTATTTTCCATTTAATACGTTTTGTATTTTTGATTTATACTGTAAGCTAAACTATTTTTTACATACAAATGAAAATAAAAACTAAAACTAATTACACTCCGATGTTTTATATACATATGTAAAGATTAGTTTGATTGATAAAGTTCGCATCCTATAGTATAAATAGTATATTCATCTCAAGATTTTTTAATTAAATAATTATATATTTTCCTTATCATATTAAAAAAATAAAAATACATCGACTGAAAATTAAAGTAACAAAATAATATTTCAATTTTACGTTATTTAATATTTGTCTTACTATTTACATATATTTTATCCAAAAGTACAAAAAAATCATACGATATAAATTTTGAAATATAATCATTTAATGTTGATTATAGTAAATGTTTTGTATTATTTTAAGACAATAATAATATGTTTAAGCCTTTATAGATATTGTATTCAATATTCGCAACAACAAATGTATTGTTATTATTATTTATTTTATAGTATTAATATGTTTGATGTTCACGGATGGATTTGGCAAATGTTAGATAGTTCTACAAAATTCCACAATAAATAGTATACAGTAATAACGATTTTATATTGAATCGTCGCAAACGTACAATTAAGTATTATAAATATATATAAAAACATTTTAATTTTCATAGTTTTAAACGAGCTACAAAAACGAGTTTTTAATTTATAGTGACCTCACTTCAGTTTATGTTGTTGTAGAGTACTATGATTTTACGTTTCATTTAAATAGCTGTAGATATAAAAAAAAAATTGAACATTATCCAAAAATAAAATGTGTATAAGCTTGTAATATTATACATAATAATAATAATAGTAATAATAATATTTAAAAGACGATTTTGATTTAAATAATTGTTTACATGTAGATTACTTTATTCCAATATTATTTGTAATACTTAGGTTATATCAGACATTTAAAAAAATATTAAAAAAAAAAAATCTTTATTTTCGTACAGATAAATGTATTATTTTAGTACCCACGTACAATGTACCTACTAATCAATTTTGAAAAAATAAATAACTATTGTTAGTTACAACAATAATTACTGTACATTTGAATAAAACACGTACCGGTTTGATATTAAGAGTTGAATATCCCATTCATATGGGCGTGTTAAAGGTAAGAAATTTGCAGTTTAGTTTGAAAAGAGAAATTATCTAAAATCATAATCAGTATAAAAATAAAAACATGAGTGGATTTTAAATAACAGCTTATTTATTGTTAAAAAAATATAAATTTATTGAAATAATCAATTACATAAAAAATTAATAAATTAATAATAATATTATACAGTATTTATAAAAAAAATTATTTATATGTATTATTTTAGAATTTAAGTTGATATTTTTTCTGGTGAAAAATTAAAATTTACGTTTAGACATTATTGAAAAAAATATTCACGTCAAATTTCTTAAGTATTGGTATTTATTCAATTGATTGAAATTCTGTAATACCCTAAAATATTACCTAGGAATTTCATATTTTTTTGTCCGTGATATTTTTGGTAAATTGCATGAAAAATAATGAATATTTTCGTTTTAAATAAACAGATATTATTATCAAGGTTTATAGACACCGATTACTAAAAAAAAATATATAACTTAAGTATTTGTCCAATTTTAATATTTATTTTAATATTTGAAATCATTATGTTAATTTTTTATTATCATATTATACTATTAACATTCATACTCGTACGACGAACACATAAACACAATAGACAATAGTAGATATACTTATATAATTTAAAAAATTAATTAATAGTAATGTGAAAAATTCGAAAAATTGTGTCGTGAATTAGCAACCGACTAAAATATACCTATTTATTGTTAAATCCACTGGTATTCAAGAATACAACGAAAATAAATATATTAAATTTATATATTATACATTTTATAATCCGAGTATAAATGTTACCCATATCAATTGACTGTAAACATCATATTGTACTTTAATATAATAAAATACGCATCCAGACATAATACATAAGGAACATAACTTCAAAATAATATAAAGTTATACACGCGCAATATATTAAAACGTTTGTTGAATAGCCGAATAGGTACTTACTCAGTCAATACCAATATGTTTTTAAATCAATTGTCAGGTTTATGTTCTTTTTGAAATTCAAACTGAAAAAATGCAATTTGAGTTTGTTTGATATTGCAATATATTATTTGACACGTTAAAAATATATATTTGATCGGAACTTACTATGAACATAGTAAACACGCGATTGAATTGTAGTGCAGAAAACCATGTTGCTGTTAGGATTAGCAGACGCAGACTAACGAGTATTGCTGTCTTCAAAGAATAAGTTATGTTTTTACAATTTATCTCGTGGTTGACCCTACTATCACACAGGTTAGATGCATTATGAGTATGATACGCATAAATTTGAGTTTTGCAGGTATTTTAATTGCATTTTTTTTTTTAATATTTACATGTTTTCACGGATAGATGAATGTATATTGGACTAGGATTTTATGAACCGATTCCGAAAATAGATATATAATAACATACTATATTGTGCGTTATTATATTATTGTACCATATATTTTACAATCGTGAGCGGGACGTAAAGATTACCGGTTTTACGATAGTGAATGTATATACTATATCATTATTATGTGTACCCATGTTAATATTGCTAATTTAGAAAACTAGTCATTACTTATTGAATTTTATGCCATATATTTAATTCCCAAAATAAGTTTCGTAATATCAACATATTATGATATATCATGGTTACCAACTAAAATGATTAGGAAATAATATCAAATGATATTATGTACTTCAATCGTAAATTTTTTGTTGCTCAAAAGTGACAATATCACTTGCTTATTGATTTAAGTATTTGATATAGATAATTAGCTGATCTTGTACGGCGTTGGCGGTAACAAATTAAATATCAGTACATTTATTACTTGAATTCTGGAAAATGTATATTGTATGGATTTAAACACACATATTTGGGTTGTTTAAATTGTGTTGAACAAATATAAAATACTGGCCATAAAATTATACCCAATCATAACGACTATTTTATTTTCTGTATTATTGTCTGAATCTGGTGTTAAGATGGTTTTAATGGTATGTTAAGTTGTGTAACCGACCCAAGTACGACATTTCTTGCGCAAATATTTCGTTAAAAAATACATTTTATAAGTTTTATTATAATATTAGATAACTTGTGAGGTTTTTTTTAAAGGTATATTTTTTGTAACACAAAGCCGATAAATGAATTCGGGTAATAAGGTACTTTATTTTGTAAGTAGCTAATACACGATACGCTTAAACAATAATTGTTACAATAACCACGCAGCAATTTTTAAATGTATACATAATTCTAATGATTAAAAATATTATGTATTTGTATAAATGTGTCAACATCTCAAAATAATTAAATCCAATTAATATAATTCTATAAAATAAAAAAATAAAAATAAAAATACAAACACACTGTATTTATACTTTCATCATTTAATTGGCTCTGGGCAATAATCTAGGGCCAAAAAGTTTTATGCCAATTGCCCCTATAGGTGCAGTTAACAAAATGGAGATCACTGCAATGGTCACCAGTCGATTTCCACATTCGACATCTTCCTGTGTACCCAATTCTTTCGCTAAATTTAATGCAACTGGAGCTAGAATAGCCTGCAAAAAAAAAAAAAAAAAAAATCGAGAACAGAAAAATTAATATAAATTATAATATTTAAAAATATCGATTCATTGAACAATTTCCTACATAGATGCGATATGAGTAGAACACATAGTAATTTTGGTTAACACATGATCACTTACCTGTATGGTAGCCTTGGGAAGCCACGAAATGTTGACGAATATGATTTCCTTGCGACTGAATCCCGTACCCAATACCGAACACGTAGTGACAATCATCCGAACCTAAAATAGATAAATATTATTTCAATAGTTAGGTATTTTAGTTAATAAGGTATATTTTTTATTTATAAACTATTTTTAATTATTTATTTAGGTTTTATCATAATATAAAAAGAAAAATCTTAAAAAACTTGACATACTATGAATATAAGTACTTAGTAAAAATAAAATAGAAATAGTATATTATGTATTGTATTAACATTTTTATTTCGTAAATTTTCTATTTGAAATTTGAACTGAAAACCAAACACCGACTGTATTTAAATGTTCGAGTTTATGTATTTTAAGTTGAAGAGAAAAAGTTATTGCTATACTTATTCGAATAAATAAAAGATCTTTTACATAAATCTCAAAGCAAGTTTACTTATATAATTTAACTCAATTTTTTTTTTTTTTTTGAAATACTGTAGAATATTTTTGGATAGATATATGCTGTTGATCTAATATCTGTTGTTATTATTTTGATTTTTAATAATTTAACAATAACTTTCGTGATAGAAATTCTATTAATGGTTTTGAAATATACAGTACAAATATTATTTATATGTATATGTGTTCATCTACATGTTCATTTGACTTCATAATACTTTCATATAAATATAATCATAAAAAAATTTTTAAATGACAAACGCCCATAAAAATAAAAATATAATGTCTGTGCCACTTTATATAATGTATTATGTATTCTATTTACTGTATACCCATTTCTATTGTATTTTGTATGTCACTATAAAGAAATTGATTTATTGTTTATATGCGTACTGTGATTCCAAACGTGAGCACAAGTAATCCAACTATAACTGTGTCAAAATGTTTGAGTAGTTCGAATATTTTAATGTCAGTGCCCAAAAACGCAAAGACGGATGGCTGAAGACCACCCCATACGTATTCGAAAACCTTTTCGACCGGTTTTTCTTGGTCCTGATCCTCTTCATCGCAATTTTCGTCGGCTAAAATCGTTGAGTTATTTCGATTTTGCATTTTTAATCTCCACCTCCAACCGGTACTAGCTATGAACGCCGATGTGATACACGCCAATGGACCAGCTACAGGATAGTTACACCATCGGCTTCCGGTCATCGCCAAAAATCCACCAGCGCCCAGCAAGAACGATCTTTTAGCTGTTATCAACCGGTTCAACCGCTGTTTTAAAATACATTAATAAGTCATCATGTAATTATGGAGTAGATATTATATAAGCAATTGGTCATAATTCATAAATCATAACAATTTTATTCAGTCGTAATTTTAATCAATTTAAATTAATGAGCATAAGAAATTAAATATTAAACCATGATTATTCAAAAAATAATATCTACATAGTAATAAATGAAAACATTTTATAAATTAGGTAATTAGTTTGAAATTGAAATAAATAATCATTATTTAAAGTGGTAAAAGGCTTTTTATTTTTATAAGTATATTAAATATTTACTCGTGAAGTGATAGTGTTTTCGATTTTTGATTTTTTGTATATCATAGCCCACGGTGATGAAGGCACAAATATCAAAAAGAAACCCCATATGACTCCCAACACGGTTCCTATAGATATTTCAATGAACCCTTGAATTATCTTACTGGTCACACTACCTGATACAGTAGAAATAAACACAAACAATAAAATATTTAATTTAATTATTAAATTAAATTAACGGTTTGAATAATAATATAATTAAACTAATCATAGGCAACTTTTTAATATGATTATTTATTTTTAACGCATATTTTTTTTTACTTAGCTTTCTAGATTAATCGTATCTTTATATATCAAATAGAATGTTATTATTTTAATAAGCAAAATATGTTATATTTGATTTTTTTTTTTTATATTTTTCAATTTTATAATTTTATTATAAACTTATTAGACTAGACTAGGTTATACTTGAAGTATTACCTCACGGTATTACCAGGTCTTACTAGTATACCGGTTCAAAAAAAAAAAGAAAAGAAAAAAGAAAAGCTAGGCTAGGTTAGTATTAAATTTTAAAATTTAAATACAAAAAATTACTAATTGAATATTAATTTAAAGTTCCGAAGTAAAATAAAAATAATTGTTTACAGTTTATATTCCGTAATAAGTTTATAAGTTTAACATGAAATTTTATCAATCATCTCTATGGATGATGTTGATGTCATGAATTCCCGCTTATTTTGTGTTTATAGTCACTCATTGTAAACTCACTAGTCATAAATAGGACACCTAATACTATCCGAAATGCGCAGATGGAAACAATGTTATCCAGGCTTGACGCGGCAATCAACAGAGTATTAACACCTTTTACTTCACCATAGCCCAAACGTTTCAGTTGGAATAGGCCCGGCACTAATATAGCTGGACTAACGGCAGACAGCGTGAACCTTTAGAACAACAAATTGCAACTGATCAAAAACAATTCTCGACAAGCAATATAAATAAAATAATAATGTTTTATTTAATATTATACAGTACCTAGGTATTAATGTATTATTCCATAAACTAATTTAATAATTACCTTACAACAATTAAATCAATGTGCAAAACGACAAAATATATTTGAAATAAAAATAATAACCTAAAAACATTACTAAATCATTCTCCTTAAATAATTATAGAGACTTTTATTTTTATCCCTTTCTCCGTTGTAAACGAAAACGCATATGATTTGAGATATAAACTCGAACAACTTTTGAAGATCAAGCTTTTTTAAATACAGAGTGATTCATTACGAATGTCGAATTTACATTGCGTGGTTTTTTTTCTTATTTGGCCAGTTTTACTAGATATCGACACAGGTGGTACGTGGTTCCTGATGCTACTTACTACACACTACACACCTCGTGCGACAATCACGTTATCACGCGAGAAATTTGATGGCCTTTCAGGTTACACAGCTAAAATTGTTAATTTGAGTCATATAATAGCTCGTATCTATGAAATTAGACAACGTATCATTGAAAAACATTAGAAAGAATTTCGTCAGTAATTGTATATTTTTTTTAACGGAATTTAAGATTGCCAACATATAGACGAGACGAACATACATTCGTTGTTGATATATTATATATTTTATAAATTAAAGGGCTATTATACTACGTGTTATACGATGATATGTTCATAATTTTTTTTTTTTTTTTTTTGTTTGTTTGAATATACCTTTCAACAAAATTACAACAAAATCAAATTAATTTTCTTCTCCTAAATCATCCTCAAACTGTAGCATATTTTATTCATAAAAAAAAATTTCAGACACACAAAAAATAAAAAACACATATCATTGTAAAATCAATACATAAATCGCTCCACTTTGAATACAAAATGATTACGATTAACAATAGTATTGAGTGTCTCACTCACCCGAGAATCAGACTCCACTTCCACGAGTAGCCGGGCAAAATGATATGTGCGGCGATGGCCGCAGTGGCGGCTTCAGCTATGCAAGGCAACAACGTGAGTTTGGCAACGACGCGGCTGAGGCGATGCAACTGACTGGCATCCAGCTCCAGTCCTCCGTTGATCAATGTCACGGCAAGTGAGACTTCTCTGAAAATGTAATAATTAAAATTCCACGTACTGTTTATGGGCAGTGTAGCGCGAATCGTTAAATGCCGAGCTGCTACGGTTATATTTACCGAAAAAATGAAAATATTTAATTAAACTAAGTGCATTTAATTAATAATTAATAATTAAATGATCTATGATGTATATTATATATATTTATTTTAATTAGTGGAAATAAATAAATATAAATACAGAATATAATTTAAACTTATTTTTTAGTCTTAAAATTATTATTAAATTAATTTTGCATTTTATGTATATACATTTATTTTTCTGATTCATAAAAATAGTCAATGGTTCTTAAATATGAGTTATAATACAACTAAAAACGAAATATTTTCGACAAAAATATTGAATATTTTATTTTCATATTTTTTCTTCCTATCACTAGCAGTCAACTGTAAGAATTCTCTGGAAAAAGTATGAGTATTTTAAACGCTCATCGGATAATATTTTTGGCTTTACATTTGATTATCATCACTAAGTCTATTAGTTTTCATGTGTCAATAAATATGCAATATTTTGCTAAAGGGCCTAAGTCCGTTGATTGATAAAAATAGAATAAAAAATAACAGTTAAATAATTTTATCTTATATTAAAATACTACTCTTTTGAAGTTTAAAAGTAAAATCTATTATAAGTTAGCAAGATGATGTCATACAGATACGTTATAACGGTAAATAATCGAATGCGGCAACGTGTTAGAATTTTGATACCTTTATTTTTTTCTGCGTCTTACGGTCTGTCATTAAATTTACATATACGCCGGTGGCTAATAAATAAAAATAAAAATAAAAATATTATACTATATGAAAACAATAATTCCTACAATGTAATATGTGTTTGTATAGTAGCTATGTGAGTTTATTATTCAAAGATGTACAATGTACATTATTAGTATGTATGATAAAAGCTATTTTTAACTTCTAGCCTTAATATTTATTTTTAATTCGTCAAAACATTTAATTGCATAATATATATAACATCATTCAACATCGTGCATTCGCTATACGCAGATTAAATATATATATTTACTATGATAAAGAAAAAATGGTCTGACGATAAAAAATATTAGACTACTCAAGTTTTGGCACCCATATTAAAAACCTAAATGGCGCCACTGAGTCAACACCATATGCATACGGGTATAACGTTCTTTTAAGAAAACGCCACATTCTCATACCACCAGTAATTTATCTACGCATTTCCAGTTTTGCATAGAATAAACTTATGGAAATAGAATACCATTTTTTTAATTTTGTATTCCCAACAGTTCAGTCGGCGTAAAAAATAATTTGAAATATATTTTCGATTGTCGTGTTTTCTTAATGCGTAATATTTGATATACTCATCAAAAGTATTTCTAACGAAAACGGATATAATCGGATCACCTGATAAAGGTTACCAGGTGTGAACACCACCCGGTGACAGTGTACAGACCGGCGTTCTGGAGTGCGATGCCGGCCAACAGCATGCCGAACCGCGGGGGCAGGCCAACGATTTTGTTGATGAGCCAGCCGGCCACCGTGCCGGTAACGTACAGCATGAATATGGAAGACAGACTGCCGCCGGGCACGGCCATCAGTGTCGGCGAAACGTTCACGTACAGCAGCGACCACGCTATGGCCACACCGACGACCGCGGCCGCTGCGTTGGCCGCGGTGGCCGGTAGCCGTTCGTCGCACCACGCCATGGCGACCACGTCGCCCGTACAGTCGTCGCCGCTGTCTTCACCACTGCAGCGGTCATTGCGCTGCTGTCCGCCGCCGCCGCCGCCGTCGCCGTCGTCGTCACGCCGTTCCAGCTGCAGTGACTGCTCATCCGGTGGGTCCGATAACTCGGCGCCGTCTCCCATTTCTACAGCACCTGTCCACCGGCACGACGATGTCTGTCTGATAAATCGATTACTTCGCTGTGGGCGTGTATAGTTTCTGTATTTTTGTTATCGTTAAGATCTATTCTTCAAAAAAAAATAAAAAAATAAAAACATATATATAAACAGTGGATTCCGCTTAATGTGGGCAAACATGTCTGGTCCCAATACAAATGTATATTAACAATGTCAAATAAAACCGCGTAATATGAACACTCGATTCGATTTATGTGGGCAATTTTTTTTATCATAGCGTTAGAATATACACATAAGTATTTAAAAACGATTAATCTAATCGGGTTCCGTCGTATCTATGAGATTGTGTTTATCGAAAGTAATAAATACCATTACCATTCAAATAAACAAATTTCGCCAAAGAGAGGCGAAAAAGTGCATTGATTTCTTGCAGAAGTTCTTCATGCAAGAGGGAAACGAAAATAGTCCGTCTGATAAACTTGAAGCGTGTGCCTATTTTGTCAACCAGATCCATACTAAACAGCTTAGACAACGAAAAATTACGTTTTGTATACCTTCTACATCCAAAGATTAATTTTATTTAATATATTATATGTATTTAGTTTTATTTATATATCTAGTAATTGTTTAAAATTTTTTTCAATTATATGATAATACAAATATATTTTTTTATTGTAATTTTTTTTTTTTTTACTAATTTCGGTTTTTATGGGCAACCGCTTAATATGGGCAAACAGGGCTGGTCCTGTTATACTAATATAGTATAACTAATATAGTTATGAAGTTATGAAGTTAATGTGTCTACATTAAGCGGAATTCACTGTATATATGTATGATTAAATTTACGTCGATATTTATCTATATGTAATTTTGAATTTTTTTAATACCTTTTTTTTTTTATATTGCAGTTTTTCGCTAAAACCTGACCGACAATTTAAAATTTATGATTCAAATGACAACTCAACCGGTATAAGTTCTAAATTATAATTATTGTCTGTTGATAGGTATATATAGTAAGTTTTATGAAACTAGTTTAAAAAAAAAAACGTAAAGGCATTAAATGTACGCATTGTTCTACTGAAAATAATGAAAAAAAAAACTTAAATCACTATTATAACGCAAAAATTGTTTATCTAATTAAAATCAAACCAGTACCATCAAATATCTGTAAAATTATTTCGGCATACAAAACACTCCGTTCAATTTATTAACACTTAACCTAACGACGACAGTCAAAACACATCATATGCAATTATTACAATTCAATTAGTTAAACTCATATAAGTTGAAACAATCATTCGTGCTATACGCTATCAGTAATTAAGCATTGAAAAAAAAAGTAGAAAGTCAGTTGAAACCATATTATAGGTATAAATTGAAGTATGATTTTAATTAAAACAATTCAAAATTTGTAATGAAACGTATTATATTCACGTATCAAAGTGCATTGATCGACAGAACTTAATTTTATATTGTACATTATTCAACTATACTTTTGCAACAGTTATGTTAAATTTCAAAAATTTAATTACTTGGATGATGAGACATAAAATCTACATTTTTGGAACAGAACGTAAGATTATATAGTTATTTCCCGAGTTTGAAAATATATTTAATATAAATCTGTAAGGTATACTATATGGTATATGTTAAGTGTATAATTAATTATTATAATATTTGAGAAAAAAGTATTTATTTTTGAAGGATACTTCAGACAGTTGAAAATGTTGTTCTAACTACTCACTATTTCATATATGCATATTGCATAATATACAAAAATACATTTAATTGAAATATTATTGTACTAGGAAATACGCGTACTATTAATTATACCAACATAGGTAGGTACATGATGAGTATTGGGCAGGCATAATAATGTGTCTAACTTAACTTCTATTATAGATAAAAAACGAACACATTATTGTAATACGTTACAAAATCACATTTATAATTATATGGGAGTGTCAAAATTCCATACAGTGATTATGAGTAATATTATAGCAACAACGCGGTAAACTGGAGAACCACCACAGTACCACTCAAAAGTACGATAGTCTGACCGTATTCACTTAGTTTTATACCAATTTTTATTATAATGTTATAAAGTTAAATCATAAAAAAAAAAAATAACTAAATATTACCTGCATACACCACCAGTGTAATGTTAACGTCCAGAAAGTGGTAGTTATTAGTTATTAAAAATTATTACATTATGATTAATGCGATAACAGTTGTAGAAAGTTGCATTATCTTGTAGGTATGCGTTACAAAATATAATAATATATTCATAAATGAAAAAATTGCTCGGGAGCATGACAAATTAACTGAACGACTTAGAGCTATAATATATATTACAACTTCAACGGTTTGCCGAGTACTGACATGAAAAACTGGTCTGTCTGTTTGGCAAGCACCTAACCAAAAACGGGACCAATGATCTAGGGTCGGATTAAAGGCGGCTAGCGCAGATGGTGTGTTTCCGGATGGCATGATATTCATGATAATATTATTGTAATAATAATAATAATAATACGATGCACGTTGGTAAAATATTTTTGTTCTTAAACAGTCAAAAGTAATAATTATCATTTATTGTTACTGTCGTTGTGGCTCGTTCAGATAGGGCGAACCGAAAATATGGTGTGTACAATTATAGACCTATTTTGATACGATTTTGTTCTAACCTCACATGTGCCGGAAATAAACACCGTAACGCTAAGATAATATAATATGTTATTATAATATAATCTCCATAACGACTTCGGGTAAAAACGATACTGTGTCGTACATTTATAGCCTTTATAGCATTTTATAGGTTCTTATTTTTCTAATTTTTTCCAATAAAATACCTTCACGGCAAGTCATAATATGAATTATCATTACAGATGTGAGTTTGCTAAATTTTCCCAGCAAAAGTGAAATTTCTAGGGTCTATTTTTTTTTATGTTTTATACCTGTTATGTAATAAGTTTTGAGTATACCTATCATCAGTGAACGGGTCACTGTAATAAATGTGTTAAAGTTGAATTCGAAAATAAACTATATGATATACAGAAAATGATTTTGAATGGATACACACGGTACTTTTAAAGATATTTTATCGTTTATTTACATTACTAATAGTAATTTATTTCTCTATATTGATTATCGGACTATTTTTTTCCTTGTTAAAATGTTATATTATTATCATTGATTTTTAAAACAAACCTATTGCGATTGGCGATTACATCGTACTTATACACTCGTGTGAATAGAACCGTGGTATAAAATACAAATATCCTGATATAAGTATAAGTAATCAAAAATATTTGATGTGTATAGAGTGTATAGAAAATAATAATTTTAGTAGTAGTTGAATGTTTCAAGTTTCTAAAACAAATATTTTTTGAATTTTAACAAAACAACAAGAATTGCCAGAGGTTAAATGGAGACTTTATGCATGAATATACATTTTCGTCAAAACTTGAACTTTAAACACGTCCTGTCAAAAAAAAAAAAAAAAAATTCATGACTTTGTTAATATGTTCTTATATTTATGGCTGAAGTTTGATAACTTAATACACAATTCTTCATAAATAGTTCTTACTATATTCCAAAAATAACTATCATACATTACAAGTTATTTTTTCTATAGACATTTAGATGAATTTCAATTAACTAAATATAATTTTAACAAAAAATAACGATTTTAGTTATTATGTTTTAATTATATATATTTATATAAAAAAAAACATATTAATTTGAAGGAATTTAAATTTTATAACAATTAAGTTAGATAAACTTATCAAGATGAATTACAACATTTTTATTAAACTGGAATCAAGGATAGAATTTATAGTATTCTAAAAAATATTGTATAGTATTTTGAATGATTTGAGATTTAGGTGTTAACAATAATTAATGATTCAAAGTTTAAATCAAACTAATATTATAATTGATATATTTCCTATATAATAAGAAAAATATTCATATGTTACTAAAGGTTAATGTTATTGAAGAATAAAACGTCAAGAAAAATATCTCTATTTAGATATATTATAATTCTTTATTACCTTTCTATAACCATATAATTTTTAATTTCAGGCATCTATATTTAGATTTAAAAATATTTAAGCACATGTAATACGTCGGATATAGCTATGTTGGTAGTGTAAGATTGTGCCAAAATCCAAAAATTGCTAAAAATATGCTTTACGTGTGTAAGAAATATTCCTACAGTTTTACAACAAGAAAATTATAAATTGTAAAATAATGCATACAATTATTTCAAATTGTAGAGCTCCATAAAAATGTATAGTAATAAGTATCCACGTATAAATGATAAACAAATAATACATTAAACGACGATAATCAAAGAAATATTATTATAGTTCAAATTTAGCAGGTGTACTTAAAAAGTAACACGATGTCGTGAATTAGTGAAAATAATATCCAGTAAATTGTAACAATCAATAACTATTAATATATTAAATTTAAATGCGTGTATTATTTTATAATGTGATTGGTTTTGTTTGTACGAAAAACATATTTTGTCATAAAATAATATAGTACATAATGCAGTAATGTTATTACATTTTTAATATTGTTAAAACATGAATCATTTACCAGTTTTACTTTACTCTCGAAAATATTCTCTTTTACATTAGTATACAAAGGTAATTATATTTTTTGTGAAATTCCCTTAAAACTGGAAAAAATCATATTTCAAAGGTTTTAGTTTTGTTAGTAATTTTTTTTTTTATATGAATCTATTATTGAATTATCATAAGCAATTCAATTTCTAATATCATCTGCTTTGGCTTTATTTAGTTTTTAGTTTTGTATAATTTTTTTTTATACTTAACACAATTTTTTTTATTTATTTTAGATTAAATTATTTTATATATTTACTTAAGTTTAGGAATGATATACATTTATTGTACTTGATTGTTTTGTTCTTTGACTTCATATTCTATGTATTACGAATACTAAGAAAATTTAAAAATCTAGAAGTGATATTAATACTACTTGGCTCTTGGTGACTTGCATTTACTTATGAGTTGACATATTATTTGTTGATTTGAATAACTCATAAGATATTAAATTGTTTAGTATAAATGTACTATCTTTATTTAATTTTTATTAAGCTTAAGTCTAATCAGTCGATTAAAGGGATTATTAATTCATTTCGAGAAAAGATTACATCTACTGGTACCTATATCAATAATAACATTATGTGCAGCTTATGTTGTAACCACGAAGAACTCTTCAGAAAAATAATTACAAAAATCGTTTATAAATAATGTGAACTATTGAAAGTTAAAAGTTGTAACACAATACTTATAAAAGATAGTATTGAGATAAAGTCAACCGTAGGCCAAAGGTCGATTGTTGGGTTCTTCAGCGTTATTTCCTGGAACAAGCTGTTTAGTTATTACACAAATACCTAATTGTTGATGAAGTGTGCTATTATATCATTTATAATAGGTCACATTATAACTGTAGCCTTTTGAAATTTTTTTGAAAAAAATTACTTGTACAAGAATTGTTATTTGTTATATTTATTGTGCTCGTTGTGTTATTATTAATCGTAAAAATGTAAAATGGATATTAAAAACTAACAGCAATCATCTATAGCAAAGTGCACTTATGTAGTCATTAATGTATTTTCGATTTTCAGGATTATTAGTACTATTTTATTTATTTTTTTAATTTTTTTATTTGTGTACAACAGTGACACAAAAATTGTGCTTTGAATTTTTATTAGTGACAAAATATACTAGTTAGGAAATATTCCATAAAAGTTTTTATTTGAAAGTTTTAACTTAATTTCACCTCGTAAAATTTTTAAAAAATCTGGTTTATTTTATGTTTTAATAATACCTTTGAATCATAAACCAGTTTTAAAAATAAGTTTTGAATGATATATTTTTTTTTTTAGTATCTAACATTACAAATACATTTATTAAAATAATACGATTTATATTTATACTTTATTTAGCGGGAGAGCACACCGATTCTCTGTCATCAAGACCAATTTTAATATAGAAGGGTTTATCGTGTTAGATTATGTAAAAAAAAATCAAATTTCATTGGTAAGCGATGTATTCATTGACGGCACAAAGTGTAGTTGTATATTGTTTTAGTTATGAATAATTTATTTTTTATAGTAAAAAGTTCATTTTATTATAACCTATTTAGAGTTTATTTTATTATATTTTCAGAAATAATGATAGTTATATCATAGATAGCTTATTTTTAGATTTTGAGTTAAACAGTTTTTTTTCGTTGTGTCATAATATCATTCTATTAAATATTAACAACCGTGGGGCGTTTAAATCATTGAAATGTAGTGTACTGCAATCGTCAACGGAAAACTTACAACGAGTATACAGAAGAGCTATTTTATCACCAAAAATGATTATTGCTCTCTCTCTCTCTCTCTCTCTCTCTCTCTCTCTCTATGTATCGTTTGTGTTTTACTCATTTTTTGTTGCTGTCTCATTTCCTTATCATATAATACAAGTGTATCAGTGTATATGTGTGTGCTTGGTGTGTTTACAAATATTATTATACTGCTCCTATACTACGGTACAATGTTCCAGTTTCAATTTACAACCACACATGATCTTCGTACGCGTTATCAAAGAATGAAAATCTTGTTTATATTCATTTTAACCATGAAGCTGCTGAAGCTCATATACACCAAAGATGCGCGTATTATAATGATGTATAGATTCAACGACCATCGCGTTTATAAATATCTGGCGTTAGGTTATAAACTGAACATATAATATACCACAACAATATACCCCACCGTCTACCACTGCACGTCCCATAATAACGTATTCATAGTCATGCGTCGTTTTCCTTTAACATATAATTATAGACATTTCAGGTTCGGTTCCCGTTATACGATATAAATTGTGAACGTGCATATATTTTGATAATGCATATAAGTATTGTTTGGCGCTTTTCATTTTATGGTGACTCTGAACAAGAAAACGTGCGAAAAAATCACAACACATTTTAACGACCGTCGTAACGTCCAAGACCACTATAGCCCATCCGTTAGTACGAATAGTACCTATTCATCACATAACTTTGTCATCTCGTTCAGTTAGACTATCGTACTCCATGAATATCTATAGGACAATAGAACACAGATGTGTATTGTTTACTGTTTGATTTTTTTAATAGTATCAACTCATACTTGTAGAAAAATCAGCGTTTATAAAATAAAATAAAATATAATATATACATTTGGATAATTAAAAACAATATTTAAAAAAAATATGATTTTTTTAATATTTGCTACGATTTTTAAGGTTAGGATTTTACTTTTTTTAAA